TGCTAAGTTTTAGGTGATTGTACTTGGATTTTAATTTGGCAAATTTCTATCAAAAACGCCAATTCACCAAATTTAATTCCCTTCAAAATTTCCTGCTATATGGTAGCACTTTTTCTGGAGCTAAATTTTGCGGATTGATAAAAATCAATTTTTACAGAAAATAACTTTAGTTGCTTTGCAATGTTATTACCATGCCTTTAATGGAAATTGAATGTTTAGCTGATCTTTAATTTTGCGGTTGCATTCCAAGTTGCCAACCCACAAAAACAGCAAAAGTTTTGCTTCTCGAAAAAACACTATACGGTATTTTTGTGACAGTTACCTTACCTCCAATAAAGATAATGATGCCTAACAACTGACAGTTGTAAACCATGATTACATGCAGGTGCCATGTGTCAGTCTTAAACCATACGCCATAAAACTTGTTTCATTAAAATAATGAACAATAGTGAATGATGTTTCATCAAGGAATATGATTTGATGATCATATACGGGATAGTTCCTAAAGCCCACCATCCACTATTCAACTTTTTTGAAAGAAACTTTGTGGTTACTTTCATGTGCTGTCAACTCTGTGGCCTGAAATAGAACTGACTTCTATTTCAGGCAACAGAGTTGCCCTACGATCAAAGTAACCACGAAGTGTGGGCTTATTAAAGCCCAACATACACTACAGGCAACATGTTGCCAGCCTTTGATCTTTCTTTCAACCTTGTTGAAAGGAATAGAAAGGTTTTATATTCAAGGCAGCATGTTGCTTGACCAGATTAAAGCATGATCAAAGGTTAGGCAAATGTTCAAAGCAACATTGTTGAATGTAGTGTTAACGCATCAAGAGCCTATAGCAATTTAGCAAAATGTCTTCAATTTCAGATTAAAGCATATACAAGCCAGACCTTTTATTTTTTATAATCTATGGCTAATATAAGCAAAGCAAAGCATAAAAGGAACTGCATTGACAGAGATTGAAAATTATCTTAATCAAATAAAAATAAATTTTAAAAGTCACGATCAAGGTACCACCTAGATGCTTATTCAGCAGTTTCCATTCCAACTCATAGTTCTGTATTTATGTCAGTCCTAGTTTCAGGGCATACAAGTAGTTAATTATACCTTTACTTATAGCAGGTTTCTGATAAAATGTTTCAATTTCATCATTCATATAATCATTCGCTGAAGAGCCTCTGGCTGAAAGTAAAGAAGGGTCTGTTGGTAAGTGTATGTGAAATAATAATTGCCATTTTGTTCCAATTATAGATTAGGCGATTAGGTTACTATGACAATCGGGACCCTAATCACATTGCAATAGTGTTTGTAAGTCTACATGATGACAGAATCAATAAGAAGCTAACGCTTTATGCTAAACTAGTTTATGATGATAACTTGGTAGTCTGTAGT